TCCGCCTCACCTGGAGCCTGGCCTTCGCGGCCGGTTCCTGGCGCTCGCCGGGGCCTGAGCTGCCCCTGTGGCGCCGCGGGGACGCCGGCCTCTGATCGCACAGGGGCCTGGCAGCTGCTTGGAGCCGTAGCGCATTTGCTTGGAGGACATCTCTTTCCTTGTAGTGTTGGGTCCCCGGTCTCCCGCTTCCGCCTGTGAGCTAACATCACGAGAATGTTCCTGCTCTATTTTCTAGAACATCAGAGCCACCAGGAGCTCTAGATAAAATTGTACAGGGATGAAACTGCTACCGATGACCTGTGAATTGGCTGAAGGAGTTGTGACTCCTGGATTTAGGAGTCTATGGGGAGAGCTGAGATGGTCAGCAATTTGGTATTTCTGAGTGGCTTCGCTTTTTTTAAAAAATTAAGGTAAAATTCGCATAACATAAAATTAACCTTTTTAAAGTGTACAGTGGCATTTTGTACATTCATAGTATTGTGCAATCTCAGCCACCTGTCCCTAGTTCCAAAACCTTCCCATCACTGGAAAACCTCCTACCTGTTACCCAGTTTTTTTCATCCCCTTCTCCCCCAGCTCTTGGCAATCACCAACCGACTTCTATCTCCATGGATTTACCTACTCTGACATTTCATATAGATGGAATCATACAATATGTGATCTTTGGGGTCTGGCCTTTTTGATTAGCATAATGTCTTTGAGGGTCATCCTTCCTGTGGCCTGTATTCGCCTTCATTCCTTTTCATGGCTAAATAATATTCTGTTGTATGTATGTCCCACTATTTGTTGATCCATTCACTCATTGATCACATCTGGGCTGTTTCCACCCTTTGGTTATTGTCAGTCCTGCTACTGTAACCATGTGTGTACATGTATTTGTTTGAGCACCTTTTTCAATTATTTGGGGTGCATACCTAGGAGTTGACTTTCTGGATCATATGGAAATCCTATGTTTAACTTTTTGAGGAACCACCAAACTGTTTTCCACAGAGGATGAACCATTTTACATTCCCACTAGCCATCAGTAGAGAGTTCCAGTTTCTCCACACTGTCCAACACTTATTTTCCATTTAAAAAATTACTAGTTATTATTATTATTGCCTTCCCAGTGGGTATGAAGGGGTACCTCATTCTGGTTTTGGTTTGCGTCTCCCTATTAATTAGTGCTGTTGAGCATCTTTCATGTGTCATTGGCCATTTGAGTATGTTCTCTGGAGAGACATCTATGCAAGTCCTTTGCCTATTTTTTTTCCTTTGCCCATTTTTAAATTTGGTTATCTTTTTGTTGCCGAGTGCTATGAGCTCTTTACCTACCTGGATACCAGACCCCTGTCAGTACACAGTTTGCAAATATTTTCTCCCACACCGTAGGTTATCTTTTCACTTTCTGATAATGTCCTTTAATGTACACATGCCTTTAGTTTTTATTAATTCCAGTTGATATTTTTTCTTTCATTGCTTGTACATTCAGTGTCATATCTAAGAATCTATTGTCAAATCCAAAATCATGAACATTTACTTCTGTGTTTTCTTCTAAGAGTTTTATAAGAATGCTTATATTTAGGTGGTTGATCCATTTTGAGTTAATTCTTGTATATGGTGTGAGGTCTGGGTTCAGCTTCATTCTTTTGCATGTGGATATCCAGTACCATTTGTTAAAAAACTGTTCTTTCCCCAATGAATGGCCATGGCCCCCTTGTCAGAAATCAATTAGCCATAGACAAATGGGAAAAATACAAATATTTTTTAAAAGCTGCTTAAATGCGGGGCACCTGGGTGGCTCAGTTGGTCCAACTCTTGATTTTGGCTCAGGTCATGATCTCAGGGTTGTGAGATTGAGCCCTGCATCGGGCTCCATGCTCAGCAGGGAGTCTGCTCAAGATTCTCTCCCTCTCCCTCTGTCCCTCCCCTCCGTGCACTTTCTCTCTCTCTAAAATAAATAAATATATCTTTAAAAAAATAAAAAATAAAAAAAATAAAAGCTGCTTAAACCCAAATTAACCCAAGATGGAAATGGAGCAGGCCAGCATTTTGACAGACAAAATAATATACAAATAATGATCTTTGCTAAATTAGAGAAATTAATTACATTTAACAGAATTACAAAATAAGTTCTTTTTTTTAAGATTTATTTATTTGAGAGAGAGAGCACGTGCACACAGATGGGCAGGGAAAGGCAGAGGGAGAGAATCTCAAGCAGACTCCCCGCAGAGCACAGAGCTGGACTTGGGGCTCAGTCTCACAACCCTGAGATCGTGACCTGAGCCAAAATCATTAGTCCAATGCTTAACAAATGGAGCCACCCAAGTGCCCCTAAAATAATAAGTTATTAAAACGGGAAGGACACTTGAGGGTCACAAACTCTAACTCTAACACGTGAGCACCCTCTGCAGAATCCCGAAGGAAGGACTGCCCAGCCAGGTTTGTTATTTTGGGAGCTTTTAGTGTTGTGCATTAGTGAGAGGTTGAATTTCAGCTCCTAATATGAAATGTAAAGACTCATGAAATGAGTTAGGAATATTTTCTTTTCTATTTTTTGGTAGAGTTTGGAAAGGATTGGTGTTAATTCTTCTTTTTTACGATTTATTTATTTGAGAGAGAGAGAGCATGCAAGCAAGTGGGGGGGGGGCAGAGGGAGAGAGAGAGAGAGAATCCTCAAGCAGACATCCCACTGTGCTCAGAGCCTGACACGAGGCTTGATCCCAGGACCCTGAGATCCCAGGACATGAGCTGAAATCAAGAGTCAGCAACTTAACCTACTGAGCCACCCAATGTTAATTCTTCTTTAAGGGATTTGTAGAATTCACCCTGAGAAACTGTCTTATATTGCCTTTGGGGAGATTTTTGATCACTGATTCAATCTTGTTTTGTTTTTATAAGTTTGCTCCAATTTCCTCTTCCTTCCTGAGCAGTTTTGGTAATTTGTGTGTTTCTAGGAGTTTGTCCATTTCATCTAAGTTGTCTAATTTGTTGGTGCACAATTGTTCATAGTATTCCCTTTTTTAAAAAAGATATTTATTGGGGCACCTGGGTGGCTCAGTTGGTTAAGCGACTGCCTTCGGCTCAGGTCATGATCCTGGAGTTCCAGGATCGAGTCCCGCATCAGGCTCCCTGTTCAGCAGGGAGTCTGCTTCTCCCTCTGACCCTCCTCCCTCTCATGCTCTCTGT